TTCTTGTAGTAACAGTCGGTCTGCCTATGTTGTTTTATATTTTTCCTGTAGGTCTTTCTTTCAAGAAGTATCTTCTGTTCTTTTAGCCACTCCAGGCTGGTCTGCTTGTCCTTTCAAGTGGGAATTTCCCATCTCTGGAGATCTGGATGTGGTTCAGGCTTCCACCTATAGTCTTATGTATTGCAGATGCTTCACAGGAAGCCTCCTTCACTGGGCAAGCTGTAGCCCCATTTTAGGTATTCCAATCAGTTATAGACAGAAGACGGGCTTACAAGCTTTCTATGGTGATGCTTTTCACTATTCCTTTCTCTCCCCTTCCAGTGTCTATTTTATAATATAATGCAAGAGAAACTAAGATTCAAAAGACAGCCAAGCATCTTAACATTATTACCCCCTTCTCCCCATTCCAACCATGGCTCAATCTCTGTATCCCAGAACCCTGTTGCTCCCAGATTATGCATATATCATTATTTACCTCTGTCCCACTTAGCCCATTGAGACCTATCTAATTGTTCTCCCATCTGCTTTGTTCTTCCATTCCTCTCTCCCTACTTGTATATTGCCCCCTCCCTAGCACCCAAACTATCCTGTGTCTAATCCCTGCTCTGTGCTCCACCTTCAATTCTTTTATTTTTAGCTATAAATTTCTTCACTTGCATAGCTCACAGTTTATTTATCTTCAATAGTCAATTCTCAATAACATACCATTTTCTCAGCAAAGTTATTTCTTGGATCTTTCTGCATTGGATTAGAGATATCTCTTTAAGTTGTCACTGTACTCTTCATTTCTTGACAATGACATTTATCATAATGTAGACATTTATTTAATATTTTTTTCTGTTATCCTCTGCTGTATTTTAGGTAAAAAAATATTTTATCACTGTTCTCTATATCTTAGCAGTGTCTAGCACCATGTCTTAAACTTTAAAGGTTTTCCCTCCATATTTTTTAAATAAAACTTGATAGATGTTCTGCAGACACCTCCAATTCAATACAGTCAAAGTAGATTTCATTATTTCCTTTTGTAAGAAGTGCTCTTCTTTCTTTTGTTACTATGACATTAAATGACACCAAGAGCCACTCAATTTCCCAACCAGATGCCTATATTGTTGTTGTTGTTGTTAAGTGCAGGTGAGTCGGTTTCAACACATTGTGATCCTATATAGGATTTCTGAGGAGCAGCTGCTGAACTTGAACTGCCGACTTTGCAGTTCAAAACCGACCTTGTGGTCCAGTGCATTTACCTGCAGCACCACATGTCTCTCTGTTTACTAAACTACAGTTAACCAGTTATGATGTGTTCATAAAGCTTAATTATCATTAAAATATGTTCTCATATTTCTATTCTCACAACCATTATTCCAGTTGACGTCACTAGCCATTTAAATGTCTTTATAATAGTTTCTAAATGTAACTTCTTCTCTGAAGACATTCTGAAAAAGTAAACATACTATTGGTAAATTCTAATTAAACAATATTTAATTTAAAAAATGCGGAATGTATAGAAGTTGGTTGGTTATGTGTTGTGGAGTCGGTTCCAACACAAAGTGACCCTATATAGCATTTCTGATGCTGTAAATCTTTTATTGGAGCAGAAAGCCTCATCTGTCTCCTGCAGCATTGCTGGTAGTTTCAAATTGCTGACCTTGAGGTTAGTAGCCTGATTTGTAACCACCATGCTACCAGAACTGCAGACCTTGTGGTTCAAACTAACCTTGTGGTCCAGTGCTTTATCCTACAACACTACAGCCAGACTACAACTAAAATGCCATTTAAAACAACAACAACAACAAATATGGTTATTTATAAGTACATATTTCTATGTGAAAAAGCTATATAGTGAAAAAAGTTATAAACTGTATTATTCCAAAGATGCGACTTTCTAGAAAGGGAAAACACTATAAAGTGAAAAGGTCACTAGTTACCATTAGAAAGCATAGGCCAAGCAGGGCATTTTTAGGGCAGTGAAACTTCTGTATGATACTGTACTGGTGGAAACACACATACATTTCTCAAAACCAATATAACTGGGCAACATATTTGTAAACCTTAATGCAAACTATGTTATTGTTGTTGTTAAGTGTCATCAAGTTGATTCTGACTCATAGCAACCCTGTATAGGGTTTCTGAGGAGCAGCTTGTGTGTTTGAACTGCCGACCCTGCAGTTCAAACCGACTTTGCAGTCCATTGCTTTAACTCATGGAGTCACACCAGGATACCTGCAAACTATAGATCTCAGTTAATATTAATGTGTCATTACCAGTTCGTTACTTACAACAAACATACCACAAGGATGCCAAATGTGAACAATAGGATAATAGGGATGAGCTCTCTGTTTTATATGCAGTTTTTCTGTAAATCTAAAACTGATCTAAAGTTTAAGTATATTTTAAAAATATATACAATAAACTGACATTTTGATACCATGGGAAAGAATCAAAGAGCAAATCTTTGGGATCAAGTGCTTATAATATTTTTATTCCAAAACTGTTATGACTGGACTTTCATTAGGTCATGTAGGTGAAAAATCAAAAGAGATAAAATAATAGTGGAGGAAAGGCTCAGCATCAAAGTTGCAGATAGTATTCACCTCTCTTTCAAGAATGAATCAAGTCCATTTTCACTGCATGAGGTGTTTTGGTATTAGTATCATTATTTTAATAATCTAAATTGTATGTGGTGCTTTCCACAATTATAGGTAAAAGTGTGTCTATTCATGGAGATGGAATGAAACGATGAATGGACTTGGTGCAGCACAATTTTCATATGGCAACAATGTTGCATAAAAATGTAAAGAAAATATAATTATAAAATACTATTACTATGCCATAATAATTCAGATTATCTTTTAGCACTTTCAGAAGTTTTTGGAAAATGTATTAAAAAAAACTTAGTTCTACTATTTCTCTAGAATTGGTAAGCTACTTAAATTATTTATCACTCAAGTCCCTGTACAATAGCAAAAAGTAGGTATAGAAAGTAGTATTCAAATTGTAAATTTTCTCATGTATGAGATCTAGCACTATTATTTTGGACTTAAATATTTTTTAACCATGAAAATGGAAGCTTCACTACATTTTTATGGAAATCCAACAATATCATTACATTTTCAGGGAAAACCATGTCTTCAGCCTGCTTCGGATCTGCTGAGTCTTTACACTGTAGATGATTGGATTCATTAGGGGTGGGAAGAGGACATAGACATTGCCCATTAGGACTTGCACCAAAGGTGAGAGATGCTTTCCAAAGCGGTGTACCATGGTGAGACCAATGATGGGGATGTAGAACACTAGTACTGCACAGATGTGAGAAACACAAGTCTTCAAAGACTTAAATCTCTCTTCCTGGGATGCAATTGCCAGTACTGTATACAAAATGAAAACATAGGAGATGAGGATAAGGACAGCATCCAGCAACAAGGTACAAATCACCAGAGCCAGGGCATAAAAGCTGTTGAAGCGGATGTCAGAGCAGGCCAGTCGGAGCAGATCCTGGTGTAAGCAGAAAGAGTGGGAGAGGATGTGAGGGTGGCAGTAGTCAAAGAATTTCAAGCGAATAATGACAGGGAGAATGGATAGAGCACTTCTCATCAAAATAGCCACCATTAAATAAATGATTCTATTATTAGTCAAAATAGATGTATATCTTAGAGGATTGCAAATTGCTGTGAAACGATCAAAGGCCATGGCAAGTAGGACTCCAGATTCTGTGCAAGACAGACCATGGACAAAGTAAGTCTGTGCAATGCAGATATCCAGATCAATCTTCTGGCTGAGCCCCCACAGAATTCCCAGAACCGTGTGCACTGTAGACAGCCCCATGCACAGGTCAGTGGTGGCCAGCAAAGCCAGAAAGTAGAACATGGGCTGATGCAAGCTAGGCTCAGTACGAATTACATAAAGCACCATACTGTTTCCTAGGAACACCATGGCATAGATTGAGGAGAATGGAATTGAGAACCAAGGATAGTATTCCTCCAGTCCAGGGAACCCTGTGAAGATGAATATTGATGAATTTATAATGGATACCACAGAAGTAGACATGACTATTTGAAGGTAATATTCAAGATGAGATAAATATAACTCACAGTTTGTTTGCACCTATCTTTGAGAGCAATCAAATAAAATAACACCACCCTCTGTATGGTATAGGCAAAACTAACTGTAGAACTTCAGGGACATTCAGCTCTACAGAAAAATCTGTAGTACCAGATGGCTTCACAGGAAATGTCCTTGGTATTACGCCTCAGAGGTTATTGAAGCAAATCTGTGTCCTGATCCTTATAGCTATATCCACTGTTGGTCTCTCTAAATAACTTGTGCAATAAACATCATGGCTCCCGAGCCCTTTCTCCTCCGAGAATCTTTGTGTCACAGGGAGTCAGAGCAATAAGTTTTTTGAGGAAGGAGTGATGAACCTTGTGTGAAATAAGTCCACTATATACAAGCTCCTGGGAGACTGTTAATCTCTGGCCAGATATGTTGCAAGTGAAAACTCTGCCTGCCACTAATAGCCTAGAAATTAGCTGAGATTATAAGAAACGGATAAATAACATTTTCCCCAGAGACAACAGAATTTTTATAATCATCGAGGGAGGGAGACTAATAGCAAAACTGAATAATCAATGTGTGGAGTCCTGGTGTGACACTGTTGAGAAAGCATTGGACTTCTAACTGTAAGGTTGATGGTTCAAACCCACAAACCACGCCTTGGAAATCCTACAAAGGATAAGTAGATGAGATGATGAGTCAGAACTGACTCAATAGCATACAACAACAACAACAAGGGTAATGTTAGCCTCACTGAATGAAATAAGGTTTTCCCTCTGCTTCTATTTTCTGGGGAAAACTACAAATAATTGGTATTGTTTTTCCTTAAATGTTTTGTAAATTCATGAGGGAAATCATCTTTTCCAGCTGAGTGTTTTCTTTTTTGGAGGGTTGTAAATTGTTGGTTCAGTATTTTTAATAATATAAGAGTACTCAGAGTATTTACTTATCCTTGACTGAGATTTGGTAGGGCCTAAAATGACACCAGAGTCCACACTGGAGTCCTGGTGTGGCACTGTGGGTTAATGCACCAGACTGCAAAGCCATTTGAACTGCAAGTTTGGCAGTTCAAGCTTACCAGTGGCTCCTTGGTATCAACATTTGCAGAAGCAGCAGTCAAGAGATCAGAAGACGTAATGCACTGGGCAAATCTGCTGCACAGGAACTTTTTAAAGTGTTGAAGAGCAAAGATGTCACCTTGAGGACTAAGGTGTGCCTGACCCAAAATACCATAGTATTTTCAGTAACCTCCACTTTGAGTAGGCAGCTCTCCCCAAGTTGTATTTTGAGTGCCTTCCAACCAGAGGGGCTCCTCTTTTGGCACTATATTTGACAATGTTCTGCTGTTATTCATAATATTTTCATCTTTTGCTACTATATCTAACAATCTTCCACTGATATTCATAAGTTTTTCAATGGATAAGCATTCAAAAATAAACTGCCTCTCTTTCTTCCTAGTCTGTCTTAGTCTGGAAGCTCTGTTGAAACTTGTCCACCATGAGTGACCTTGCTGATATTTCAAATACTAGTGACATAGCTTCCAATATCACAGTAATAATTAAGTCATCACAGTGTGACAAAATGACAGAATGAGTCATAGATTTTACTCATAGAATACTTCAATACTGCAACCCCAACTTGAACTTATTTTTCAGTTCTTTCGGTTTGAGAAATGTTTAGCTTCTGGTTTCGTAATTTCAAGTTTTTGCACATTGAGCTATAACACTGTAATACTTTGTCTTCTAAAGCTGCCCTATGACATTTTCTATTCAACTCTTTTAGTTCACTATTCCTCATCTCTGGTTGTTGCTTTAGCATCCCTATGTTCAGTAGCAAGTTTCAAGTCTCTTTTCACATTCATTTTGGTCTTTCTTTCTTGTGTTTTTAATAACCCCTTGCTGTCTTCATTTATGATATTCTTAATGTCATGCCACAACTTCTCTGGTCTTTGGGCATTAGTCTCTAATGCACCAAATGGGTGGAGATGGTGTCTAAATTCAGGTAGCATAGTGTTGTTATTGTTGCTAAGTGCCGTGCAAGTCAATTCCAGCTCATAGTGACCATTTGTAGTTTTTCTGAGAAGTAGATGGTGTTTAACAGTCCAGTGCTTACCATATATTCTGAAAATATTGAGTTGTTGTTAAGTGTCATCAAGTTGGTTCTACTCATGATAACCCTGTATAGGTTTTTTGAGAAGCAGCTGGTGGGTTTGAACAGCTGGCCTTGTGGTTAGAAGTCCAGTGTTTATTCTACAGTGCTATGAGACCTGGTCTGGTGCTGTGCGTTAATGCACCAGACTGCAAAGCCATTTGAACTGCAAGGTTGGTGCTTCAAGCTCACTAGTCGCTCCTTGGAAACCCTATACAGGGTCGCTATGGGTCGGAACCGACTTGACGACACTTAACAACAACAACAACATACCTGTATACCAAAATATTGTGTTGTTGTTGTTGTAAAGTGCCATCAAGTCAGTTCCAACTCTAGCAACCTTATGTAGGGTTACTGTGGAGCCACTGATGAGTTTGTGGTTCAAAACAACCTGTGGTAGACAGGGTACTAAAAAGGCTATAATTACCAATACATGGTAAAGTTACAAAAGATTATATTTTATCCTTAAATAACAAATATAAATAAAATAGACACTATTAAATGTTAATAGTTTAATTATTGATAAATGTGTGGCGCTGATAGTTAATGCTCCAGACTGCAAAGCCATTTGAACTGCAAGCTTGGTGGTTCAAGCTCACCTGCTGTTCCTCGGAAACCCTACTCAGGATCACTGTGGGTTGGAACCGACTTGATGGAACTTAACAACAACAACAATTAACACAAAACCTAATGGTTAAATAGTGTTTAATTTAAAATTATGTTATTTATGAAATCTTATGTATAATAATGAACTTCTGGTGTGGCACTGTAGATCAGCTCTGGATTATGAATCACAAGGTTGGAAGTTAAACCCACCAGTTACTCCTAGGAAACACTATACAGGGTCACTATGAGTGAGAGCCTATTCAACAACACTTAACAACAATGTATAATAATATTATGATGTTTATAAAGCATATAATCTTCTTGCAATAAAGAGACTGATAATAATAAAGAATGCAACAAAAAGAATAATTTCAATAGGTACCTGAATGAAAGAGAAGTTGAATATGCGACATGTGCAAAATTGTTATGATTCCAGTTAGTTCATTCAGTTTTTCCTCGACTAATTTTCAGATCTTCAAAGTTAGATTGCTTTTGCCTGTCCTGTCTCCTTTGGTACCTTATAAATCATAGGAAAAAAATAGAAAGAATAGGTGTGAAAACCAAGAGAAAAATTACTCATCTGTTCATATTCCCCTATGGGTGCTACAGCTGTGGCAGCACTGCATACCTGTGATCATATATTATCTCCTTTCAGGTAATAATAGACTCTCCCAGAAGTATAGTCCCGTATCCAAATCCCATATGGTCATAACTATTGCTGTTTCTGCATAAAACACCTTGCTTCTTGTTCTTCATTAGTCACTAGCTCTAGAAATTCTATATCTAGACATCAAATTTTTGGCCCTAAAAATGCATAATCAGTAAAATAATATGGAAGATCACTAATTGTCTGAGTTTATGGCATTAAAGAAAATTGCAGTATGATCTATTTTTTCTGAAAAGCAGGAAATTACTATAAGAAATTTGAGAATCATAAATCCATTCAATTGACTATGAGTCTTTTAACATATTTTCAATTCTTTTGTCATGTCTACAGTCACCATCTCCAGCTTCAGTGATTCCAACTTTGCTTTTACTGGTTTTCCTGGCCTAGAAGTTGACTACCTCTGGACCTCCATCCCATTCTTCTCCATTTATGTCATGGTTTCTCTTGGAAACTGAATGGTGCTTTATGTGACCTGGACTGAACTAAGTTTGCATGAGCACATGTTCTATTTCTTGGGCACGCTGACCACTGACTTGTGCATGGGGTTGTTCACAGTGAACACAGTGCTGGGGATATTGTTGGGCTTCATTCAAGAGATGAGCTTGGGTTTCTGCATTGCACAGTCCTATTTTATCCATGGTCTATCCTTCATTGAGTCCTCTGTCTTTCTTGCTATGGTCTTTTATCACTATATTGCCATTCTCAACCCATTATGCTACTCTTCTATTCTAACTAATGACAAAATCATGAAAGTTGGAATTGCCATTTTAAGTAGACATTCTATACTCATACCTCCTATCATCATCTGTCTGAAGTTCTTAAATTATTGCCACTCCTACATTCTTCCTCACTCTTTTTGCCTACACAAAGACTTAATAAGAATGGCCTCTTCAGACATCTGTCTCAACTACATCTATGGTCTTTTCCTGGTAACTGGTAACCTGTTGTTGGATGCAGTCCTCATACTTATCTCTCATATGATGATCTTGCACACAACCTTAGCCATTGCATTCCATGAGGAGAGGATCAAGTCTGCAAACTTGTGGATCTCACATTCGTGCTGTTTTGGTTTTCTACATTCCAATTATTGGTCTGACCATGGTGCATCACTTTGGGAAACATTTCTCACTATTAATTCATGTTCATATGGGAAACATCTATATCCTTTTCCCACTCTTGATAAATCCTATTATTTATAGTATCAAGACTCAGCAGATATGAAAACGAATTCAGACATGAAGCTGCCTGAAATGTACTTAAGTCCCCTGGCATCAAATGTGACTATATTTAAAAGTCAAAAGTGTAATTCTAAGGGGTCAGAGTCAGTATATAACTAAAATATATATATATATATATATATATATATATATATATATATATATATATAAAACTACAGTAGCTTCTGTAGCTGTGGGTTAATGCACTAGACTGCAGAGTCAGTTTGAACCACAAGGGGTCGGACTAACTCAATGGCTCTTAACAACAAGAAGCATATTGTATATTTGTTGTTGTTGTTAGGTGCCATTGAGTCGGATCCGACCCACAGCGACCCTATACAGGGTTTCCAAGGAGC